CGTCATCATCATCATCGTCATCATCATCATCATCATCATCATCGTCATCATTATCATCATCATCATCATCGTCATCACTATCACCATCATCATCATCGTCATCACTATCACCATCGTCATCATCGTCATCACTATCACCATCGTCATCATCGTCATCACTATCACCATCGTCATCATCGTCATCACTATCACCATCGTCATCATCGTCATCACTATCACCATCGTCATCATCGTCATCACTATCATTATCGTCGTCGTCATCATCATCAACATCATCATCATCATTACGTGACAAATATTTCATGCTCAAACTTATAAGACGCCTAATGAGGCATTTTATAACCGTAGCTTGCTACTATTGCTAGTCATTACCATGATGATGATGATGACGATGATGATGATGATGATGATGACGATGACGACGATGATGATGATGATGACGATGACGATTATGATGATGACGTTAATAATAATGATGCCGATGATAAGGATGACGCTGAAAATGATGATGATGACGATGATAATGATAAGGATAATGATGATGATGATAAGGAAGACGATGATGACGATGATGGTGATAATGATGGTGATGATGACGACGATTATGACGAAGTCAAAAAATATAAAATCATGATAACAGCATCATTATTTACGTTAACAAAGTAAACTATAAAACAATGAATTTTGAAATAAAACTGCATTGTTAAAGACAACGAGTTTAATTACATCAACGTCAACAATGACGTAATCACAACAACAACAGCAACAACAACAGCAACAACAACAGCAGCAACAACAACAACAACAACAGCCATTAAATTCTCTGGAGATTCATCTCAATGACAACGTATTGAAATTCTTTCATAGGATTAACAACTACTGCTACGATTTTGTAGCTTTTGTGTCTTGTTGTCGTCGTTATGTTGATTTTGTTGATGTTGTTGTTGTCGTTCTTTTTGATGTTGCTATGTTGTTGCGATTGTTATTGTTATTTTTCAGCGTTAAGCTGATTAGCTTCACGCAGTTAACATTCCCTACAAAAATTTTAGTATGTTGTTATACAAAAAACAATAGATACATCAAAAAAGACAACAACCAAACATTAACAAAATTAACAAAAACTTTAACAGTACATTAACAACAACAACAATCTCAAATAAAAACATCAACAACAACAACCTCAAAGAAACATTAACAACAACAACTTCAACAAAACATTAACAACACTAACAACTTCAGCAGCAACCGTCTCAACAATAGCCACATTAACGCAACTCGCGGATTCTCTTGAAAGATTTTTTTAACGACGGCAACGTATTGAGAAGAGGACCACCAGTAAAACAACAACAACAACACTAACAACAACATCAACAACAACATAGTTACAACACAAAACTAGCCAACGTCATCATGATTATTACGTCATCTTTAGTATAATCATTATCGCTACCATCGGCAGAATACAATCGACTAATGTTTAAACAAACAATGCATTTATTGTAGTGAATGTTTGTTTGCATGTATGTATGTATGTATGTATGTATGTATGTATGCATGTAGGTATGTATGTATGTATGTATGTATGTATGTATGTATGTATGTATGTATGTATGTATGTATGTATGTATGTATGTATGTATGTATGTATGTATGTATGTATGTATGTATGTATGTATGTATGTATGTATGTATGTATGTATGTATGTATGTATGTATGTATGTATGTATGTATGTATGTATGTATGTATGTATGTATAAATGTGTATGTATGTGTATGTGTGCGTGTCTGTTTTAAAATAATATATGTTTACATAGTTATCACCGCCCAAACATGCATAATGTTAACTATTATCTATTACGTCACCATAGCAACCAGCTTCGTCATCATCATCATCCACGTCATCTTCATCGTCGTCGTGACGTCATCGTCACAACCGCCATCAGCCAAACCCGCCGTTTCCAATTCCATCACAATTATAAATGATTTATAATCTTCTCCTAACGCGGAAGTTTGTGTGAGTTTGAGTGAGTGTGTGTGTAATATGTGTGTGTGTGTTTGTGTGTATGTGGATGTTACAAGTTTATTATATAATCACATACACGCACGCAAACACGTACGCAAACACAAACAAACTCGCGCGCATACATAGCTGGGATTCTTCAAGTCATTCCAGCGTCTTGAAATGTCTACTCGTGCAGAAATCGATTATCTTGGGCAAGAAATAAAAAACACACCTCACTAGGCACACACATACACACACACAAACAAACACAAACAAACAACCACAAAAACATACAAAAAATATAACATAAACATACACACCGCACGATATGAAGGCATAACACCACAGACAAACGCCGCAAACATGCCACATAAAAAACACACCTTATAAAATTACGCTCCATTAACACACGCCTTACACACAGACACGTACACACATACATACACGCACGTACACACACCACACACAAACACTTCGCATAAACACATAAAATTACACAACATAAACTGCCAAAATTAGCGTACGAATGGCAAACACGGACTACATAGAAATATAAATAAATAAATAAATAAATGAATATTTTTTTACGCACTTTCTTTATTATTTATTTTTTGATTATATTTTTATTTTTTCTGTCCGTGTTTTTTGTTTATGTTTTTTGCTTATATTATTTGTCTATGTTATTTGTTTATGTTATTTGTTTATGTTATTTGTTTATGTTTTTTTTCTCGCGTGCGCTTTTGGGATGGATATAAAATCGTAGGTGGCTGGAGATGATTGCATACATTATTGTTGTTTTTGATGTTGTTGTTGTTGATGATGATGATGATGTCATTGTTAATGTTATTTGTTTTGTTGTTGTTGTGTAAATTTTTGCGTTGTTGTTGTCACTGCTGTTGAATGCAACTGATGTTATGTGTCCTTGTTGTAAAGATCATCTGGTGTTGTTGTTGCTATTGTAAGATTTTCAGTATATTTATATGTCATGTTTTTGAAACGTCATACAAACTACACAGCAGCAATAGAGCTACAAAACCAGCAACAACTGCATCAGGTTTCGGGCTTTAGATCGTCAGCAGCGAAACAAATGAACGAGAAATAAATTCTGAAATTTCAAAAGATTTTGATGGCTTGAACAAAATTGCGAATGACACATCACCAGAAAATGAAAACGCTTTGAAAAATCATAATTCAATTTTTTTTCCACTAAAATTTGAGAAGCGAAGCTAAAGGCGGAAATTTTTTAAATTGAATTCCATTTGAATTTAGCTCAGAGCGATTGAAGTGAATGTGTTTGATCGTCATCGTCGTCGTCGTCGTCATCACTCTTGTTATTAGAAGTTTTAGATGTGTCTATTAATTTATTTAATCATTATTTTATTTCTTCGTTTTGTTTTTCCATTTTTTAATGATTTATTTATTTATTAGCAACAAGTTATATTTGTTATTTTAAATGAATTTGAGAAGTTTAGTTATTGTAAATTAATTCATTCATTCATTTGTTTGTTTGTTCGTTCGATTATTTTTTCATATTTTGTTGTTCAAATGTTCGTACGTTTGTTTGTTCGTTCATTTGTTTGCTTATCCATTAGTTCGTTCATTCATGCATTTTCCATTTATTTTAAAATGAGGCTGGCTCTCCATCCATCACGCACTCATCCACTTCTTCACTCACATCTTCATTTATTTTCTTTTTGGTCTATCGATCATTCATTCATTCATCCGTTCATTCATTTATTCATCTATTTTTTTTATCCATCATTCAGTCACTCAGTTTTTATTTATAAATCTGATATTTCTTTTAACTAGGACTCATTTTATTCCCATCATCGTCGTCATCATCATCGTCGTCATCATCATCATCGTCATCATCATCATCGTCATCATCATCATTATCATCATCATTATCATCATCTTGTCAATTTCATTATCAACGACCTCATCAGAGTAATTTTTCATTTTTGTCACTTATCACCATCTTTCATCACCCCATCATCCTCGCCATCATCATCATCACCCCACCACCATCATCATCATCACCCCACCACCATCATCATCATCACCCCATCATCATCATCATCATCGTCATCATCATTTTCGTTGGTGTTCTGTTTTTCAGGGGCAGCATCTCTTTATTCTAGAGGTCAAGCATAATGTTAATAACCTGCATAAATATTGCATGTGTATGTGGTTTGTGTGTGTTTTTGTGCGTGTGTGTGTCTTTACGTGTGTATGTGTGTGTAGTGTATGGTGTGTGTGTGTGTCTATTTCACAATATCGATCATACAATGCCCCGATATAGTGAACGAATTACACTGCAGACTTCTTTACAACGAAGTCAGGCATATATTTTGTCATGTAAAATCTAGATTGATTATTCGCATTCTAAGTAGAAGCCTTCAACAATGCATCAACGAAATCGGCACAACAATTTGTACATACAAACGTGTATTTTGTGTATGTGTACGTTTAAACTAATACACGCGCATACCACATACAAAAATTTGTATACACTACTTAAGCGTACAGACATACAAGGATAATGTGAATCTTCTTGTCATTACTCTAGCAGAATCTCAGAATGAAGAAGACACAAACCCACCCACACACGCACGCACGCACGCACGCACGCACACGCACACAAACAGGAACGTATACTCGCACTTGACAACCTACCCGCCAATTCAAACCACAGCGCGCCATCTTGAAGATTTTTCATCTGCACGAAACCTGGCATACATACCGAGCGGGAATTATTCACATCACGTTACGCAATTTTTTTTCTCGAACGAAAAATTTTTTTGGGAGAAATAAGTAAGAACTGACTGAATAAAATATGGTTCATCATCTTGTTCAATAATAAATGCAGTTTAGCGGTCATTCATTCGTATCTCTCTGACGTCTGCTATATCATCAACAATATCACTGTCACAAACATCATCAGACCATCACCAAAAACGTCATGACGTCATCCACATCAACATATGAGTGACTACTGCTCCATAGAATAAATTGTTGATTGATACCAGGTGGGTTGCCAGAGAATTCATGATCGATAATCAGAGCCTCTGCTTTTATATCTATGTTTTTATGTCTTCGCTTTTTTATGGTTCTTTGTTTTTATGTCTATGCTACGCGCCTTTACGACTCTGCCATCTTGCTTTTATGTCTTTGCAGTTTTCAATTTATTGTTCTATGTATGAGATTGTTTATATCTTTTGGTGTGTTGAAATAGATGCTGTTGTGTTGTTATCATGTTCCTTTGCACACATTTGCATGTATTTATTTCTGCATGTGTATGTGCACGTAGCACGGGACTATATGAGGTTTTCTGTATAACTGCTCATCTAAATTCACATCTGTCTATGCGATAGTTATTTTGTTTCTTAGTTTTAATTCATCCTTCGAATTGTTACACGAATTAATTTAGCACTGTGCTTTCTATGTTATTGGCGGGCATTATTATGAATGCACGACTCGCTGACATCACCATCGAAAAATTGTCTTGGATATTTGTCATTGTAAATGGCTCGTTTAAATTTTTATGTTAAACGTTAACACTGGCCTTTGTGATCTACTGTCGAAATGCTGGCGATGCTATGGCTCAGTGGTTAGAACAGCAGGTCCTGTCTTTTTCTGTGACCTTCTTCAAATGCAAGAGATTCTTACCTACCGCTGCCTATTTGTTAACGCTGGCCTTTCTGACTTACTGTCAAATTAGCAGGTACCATATTATTCTTTAAAATTCGTTTAAAATATTTTCAAACACGTGTGTGCGAAATGATACATATCAGGAGGTTCCAGGTACTTCCGATTAATAATCAATTAGTAACAAATTATAGCACCAAGATATAATAATAATAATAATAATAATAATAATAATAATAACAAATTATAATAGTAATAATAATCCTAATGAGGATAATGAGTTTACCTTTTTCTACAAAAGAATAAGCAAAGATAAATAATATTTTTGCAATTTCTCCGCTATTGATATACTCTCATGGTTGTAGTCCGGACAATCGCAAAACGACCATCTAAACGTATCGTAGGCTGTCATCATCGTTTTCTTTATCTATGCTTCTATTTCCGTTCTTTGCTTCCTATTTTATCTATGGTATTGTTTATTTTCTTAGCTGAAATTTTTTTTTGGTGTTTTTTAATATGTTCTGATCGGTTTATTGTTGTGGGTTTTTTTTTGATTGTTTCAGTCTTTGCCTCCTACTTTAAGTTAGCCATTTTAGTTCCACTAATAATTTTTATAAATTTTCTATATTATTCAATGTTTTTGTTATCATTGATGTTATTCAGGATTTTTGTTGTTTTTGATGTATTTTCTGTTGTTTTTTTAGTCTTGGCGTTCTTTATAATGGTAATTTAGCCGTTATCTTATCGTAGTAAATCAATGTATATTAGGCTCTGTGCATATTTAATCGGCTTGCCTTTTTCGGGTTTGTGATTGTCTTCGTCTGTTTGTCTTTGTTCGTTTTTGTATATGTACCTTTGTTGTTTTTTTGTTTGTTTATGTGTTTGTTTGTTTTTTGTTTGGTGTTTGACGTTATTACAGACGCATACAGATTGACACAAATACATAAACATTCTCATACGTACATACGTTTATGCACACACATATAAAGATAAATACATGCAAACAGACAAACATACATGCACACACATATACATTCATACATACATACATGCAAACTGTGGTTTAAATTTTTAAACCTTCAAACCTGTTTTAGAAAATTTTTTATCAATGTTTAAGAGAATGTCAAACGATAAAATTTTGATTAAACAGAAGCGCTTACAAAAAAAAACACACAAAAAAAAATAAAATAACATCAACAACATTTATACTAACAACAAAAACATTAACAAGACATGACACCAATAAAATATTTTAAAACATTAACAACAACTAATTAACTACATCAACGCCAATCTCGTAACACATCAACAAAACTACATCAACTGTAAAATTACAATCCAAAAAACTTTCAACAATAAAAAAAAACATCGATATTATCAATAACAACAACTTCAACAACATCAACAACAAAAACATCAACAACAAAAACATCAACAACAACAACAGCAGCAGCACACACTTCTGACTTTGATGACCTAACAGGAATATTTTCCTTGGAAAATTTTTCAAAGAATTTTTCTAAAAAAATATTTTATTTCCAAGAACTTACGTAATCAAATTTAATTTTCTAGAAAAAAAATTCTATTTAGATCTACAGAAATTGAATCTGAAAACTGAGATAATGATGGTGATGACGACGATGACGATGACGACGAAAATGATGATAGCGATGATGACACGGGTGATTATGACATAATGACGATGCCGTTTTGCTTATGACGGGATGGGATGATGATGGTTTAAATGGCAATGATCATAGAAATAGTCAATCGGACGATCCATCAATAGTTCAATCATCCAATCGCACACGTGCAAGCCTCTTTTTGACAGCCTCCAATTGAAAAAAAAATTAAACTAAATAATCAACCACACATACACTGGCCTCCACACACATCTACACAACACACACACCACACATACACACACACACCACAAGTATACACACACACATACACACACACCACACACACACCACAAGTACACACACACACACACATACACATACCCACACTTATCCACACACCACACCACTCCATTCAGGGCCCGACACTTGGTGGGTGCACTACCCTTCAGCCTCGGGCAGCATGCAATCCCCGGTTGACATCATCACGGAGGAAACCTGGCAGGCCAGCAGAGAGAACAGCAACTTCGAACCTCTAGAAATTGACTACAGCTCCATGGGTGGTGGCTCAAGTAGGGGTGCCAGCAGGTACGCCAACCTCTGCTCCAACATCGAGGAAGGGTCCCAGTCAGACGGGGGTAGTGAAATCGTTGGCGAGGTGAAGATTCTCGTCAATAATGGAAATACTAGTCGCATCAATTTCGTTAATTCTAGATCGTGTAAGTGTTGTTTAATTTGTTGTTAGAAGTTGTTGTTGGTAGATTTGTGAGATGACTGTCATCTTTTGTGCTGGTTTTGTTAGTGTTATAAATGCTATGATTAATTTCTTGATGTTACCAATATCATCGTCGATATTGTTACGGTCTGTCTTCCATCTTCATCGCGTTCTCATCATCCTCATCAGCAGCATTAGACGCTCTTAGTTTGATTGTTGTAATGCATTTGGCTTTTAACAGCAATGATTATTGAAATTCTTCTGTCATCGTCCTCATCATCACATCATCATCCCAGTCAGACACATCATCATCATCATCACCATCATCATCATCACCATCATCATCACCATTACTATTATCATTACCATCATCATCATCCACATCATCGTCATCACCATCATCATCATCATCATCATCATCATCATCATCATCATCATCATCATCATCATCATAGCCGTTTCATACGTCATCGTCGTCATAATAAACACCGTTTCATAGCCATCATCATAGTCATCACTCACAATCTTCATCACGACCACAGACGTAACGGGTGGCCCGTACCGCCACTACAACTTTTTACTGGAGCAGATCCACATGCACTGGGGGGAGTCCGATAAAAATGGGTCCGAACATTATGTCAACGGGAAGGGATACTCGGCGGAGGTTTTCACACACACACACGCAAACACACACACACACGCATGCACACACGCACACACACACACAGCTTGATGACTATGACGTGATGGTAAATATGATATCATATGACTGACGCAATCGTTAAGCTAAATTTTCCATTTTAAATGGTGATCATTCATTACATTCTGGCTGTGTTGCTGGTTTCTGTTGTTTTTTATACGTACACGTACACACATGTGCTTACACAGACATACACGTACACACACACACACACACACACACACACTTACACACACAAACATTTGTAGTTGCATTTCGTACACTGGAATGAAGATTTGTACTCAAGCTATGAAGAAGCAGCGCGAAATGATGACGGTATTCTGGTATTGGCTGTATTCGTTCAAGTATGTGTATTTACATGTGTATTTTTTTGTGTGTGCTTGTGTGTGTTATGTGTGTGTGTATGTATGTGTGTGTGTGTGAATCATTACGTGCATATTTGTATCTATATGTGTCTACCAGTGTATCTATAGATCATCTCATTAAATTACGAATCAGTCAGCAAATTGAGAACATTTTTCTCTCTGTCCAAATAAAAAAAAACAACAAACGCGTATAAAATATAAACACAAACTCATTAAATTTTAACGCCTTACTTCGCTAGATGTCAGACACGAAAACAAACACACGAAAACAAACACATACATGTTTATTTGTATGTGTAATACAAATACACATTTGTATTAAACATAATACAACCTCATTAAATTTTAACGCCTTACTTCGCTAGGTGTCAGACACGAAAACAAATGACGCCCTGAAACTCTGGAGTGAAATGCTGGAAGATACCATGTACAGGTTGGGATTGCGATGACGACGACGACGACGACGATGATGATGATGATGATGATGATGATGATGATGATGATGATGATGATGATGATGATGATGATGACGTCGGTAATAACAACGTTGCAGGGAAGAGAATGTACCGATGGACAAGAATTTTCCATTCCATCTCATGATTCCAAGTTTGTATTTTATGTTCGGTAAATAATTTCTTTTCTTCTCTTTCGTTCACTCTCTCTCTCTCTCTCTCTCTCTCTCTCTCTCTCTTTCTTTCTCTTTCTCACTTTCTCTCTCTCTTCTTAATTTTCAAATTCAAATCGTTTTGATTTGTTTTAAGTAGTGTTGCTTATTTTTTATAATTCTTTGTACTGTTATTTAATTTTCTCTCTTTCTTTTGTTTTCTTTCTCTCTCTCTCTCTCTCTCTCTTTCTTTCTCCCTCTCACCTTCTTTTCCGTTATTTAAGTGATAAATTGAAATCGTTGGTTTTGCGAATTTTTTATTGAAAAATTAGACCACAAGTGCTACAAATATAATTGAATGTATAGTGAGCAATGCTAAAAACAACGTAGCAAACATTTTTATGGATTTCTAATTCACAATATAAAATTAATATTTGAAATTTTTACTTAAATTTGAAAAATTACTTAATGAATGAATGAACTATTTAATTAATTAATTAATTAAATAATCGTGTTGAAAATTTGAAATTAACTTTGAACTGAACCATTATTCAATCATTCGACAACCTCACATATATATATAGATGTTGAAAGTAGGATAGATTGATGAATAAATTAATGAGTAAACAAATCAACAATTGAATGAAAACATGAATAAATGAATAAATAAATGAACGAATAAATGAATGAACATGTGAATTATTGAATGAATTTTGATTGGAAAACTTAATGTGCAACATGACAGAGAAGATGACGAAGAAAATGCACTATGTTGCTCAACTAAGGCATTGGAAAATCTGAAAACGAAAATAAAAATCCATATTAGCAGTAGTAAACAATGATTACTAACAAATACTAAAAACTAAATTTAAAAAAAAAACTCAAAAAGTTCAACGATAGCACTACAAAAATCAAAAGCAAATGACCAACTGACCAATCGGAATTTCAGTAATTGTCCAATCTCCAATCATTATGACCACTGGAATGTCTGGCCCGTTCGTCAATTTTTTAATTCCGATTAGTCCTCGCATGTTTATTGGCGGTTTGACGAACTTTCAAATTTAAAACTCAAAGATGCGATGGTATTCGAATAGGTAGTTGACTCGCTGGTGATCTGCAATTGATTAAAATGATTAATTAGGTGAATAATTAATGATTAATTAATTAGTTAATTAATAGGTATTTGTGTGCTTAATTAATAAGCTTCATCATTGATTCATATATAGTTGAGTGTGCTGCAATTAAATTTAATCCTTTATTTAACAATGAGGTTATTATTTTAGCGTATCAGAAATTTGTTCAAGTTATTTTATTTTTTTTAGTTACTAGAAAATTTTCCGAAAATTACTGTAGTTGCGCTTGTAGTAGTTGTAGTAGTAGTAGTTTTTGTTGTTGTAATAGTTCTAGTAGTAGTAGTAGTTTTTGTTGTAATAGTTGTAGTAGTAGTAGTAGTTTCGTTGTTGTTGATTCTGATGTTGTTGTCGTTGCTGTTGTTGTCTGGTTATGTTTCAAATCCAAACTTGCTCCTGCTTATATAGCAGTTGAAATCCGTTGATTAAGCGCGAACCGAACACGGACATTACGTCACCAACATCATCGTCATCATCATCAACATCGTCCTCTTCGTCATTATGATTATTATTATTATTATTATTAAAAGTAGTAGTAATAGTAGTAGTAGTAGTGGTAGTCGTAGTAGTAGTAGTAGTAGTAGTAGTAGTAGCAGTAGTAGCATAAATAGCAGCAGTTGCAGTTGTAGTATTGGCAGTAAATCTTTTTACTGATGTATATATTTTAATACGACTACAATGCTATGCAGCCGGTTTGATTCTAAGAAGAAATAATAATAAATTCATTTGTGCTGCACTTAGAAGAGCGTTTCATTTTAACTTTAAACAATTTTTTTGTGTGTAGGTTTGTTTATGTTTTGTATTTAAATTAATCAGAATAAACCAAAAAGTAAATAATTACTGACAAGTGTGTACATGTGTGGTGTGTGTGTGTACATGTGTGATGTGTGTGTGTATATATGTGTGTGTGTGTGTGTAAAAACCCCCTAACTTCTAGTTACAAAATTCTTGGAAGAACCGCCTACAATATTTTTATGTTAATTATTCATTTAGTTAAGAATACACTAACATATGAACAAACACACAGACACTCACACACACACACAAGCACAAACACACACACACACACACACATATATATATATACATATACAGACGTGTGCATTGTTAAAGCAATATACATATATTTATTGATATGTTTAGGTGTATATATATGGTCTGCTATATTACCATGACTTTACATAGGAATTGAAATAAAGTGATAGTACCTACTTAAGCTTTACATATATGTGAAAGGTATCTGTAGTGTGTTGGAAATGTGAGAAAAATATTGAATCCATCAGAATATTTTTGAACAAAAAAAAATTTTAAAATATTGAAATATTGGGCTCTCAGATATGAAGGTTGAGTGTAACAAATAAATGAATGAAATGAGTTTATTCGCCAAAAGGTTTTTCAAATATTTTATGCTTAGGATCGTGATGTAGGATTAGTTTGACAAGTAAGTGATTTGCTATTAATCAGTCGTGTAATTTTTAGGTGTGTTGTGTGTGTATATATACGTGTGTATGTGTCAATCAATTACACAATACACACACGCGCGTGTTTGTTTGTGGTGTGTCAGTGTGTTCAATTGATTTCGTAGGTTTAAAGACAAGTACTTAGGAGCTAATTATGGTTTTGTATATACTAATACATGTTACGTTATTGATGTATAAATAGATTTGTGAATAAATTATCATTTCTTCACAAACTCATTCGCCTTCGCTCGTCTGTTAACCATCGCCATCACTTCGTCAGCCGTCTTCATTGCAACTGCATCAACCAGTCAATACATCAGCTCTCGCCAATAAAGGCTTCTCACATTGCTCACCATCAATATGGAACAGTTATCATCCATCATCCGTCAACAATCATCAATAGAAACGTTTAAAACGCGATTGAAGCAGCATCTGTTTGAGCAGGCTTTTGGCGGCCGTGCTGACATTTGTTTATCCGGGCGCCTCTGACGCTATGCATAGGGCGTTTATAAATGACATTATTATCATTATTATTATTTTTATTATTATTATTATTTAATAATAATAATCTTTTATTTGTGGGGAAAATAAAAGATTATTATTATTATATATAAATGAAAATAAATAAAAAATTTTAGTGGCCGATTCATCATCTCTTCTAACCGACAATAAAATGTACACGAAAATTTATGACTAAAAAGTAAAATTAATCAGAAAGTTGTGAATAAATTAACGTCGTAAACGACTTCGCTGGTGCTTACCAAGCCTCTCTTGTACTACATCAACCGTTGACTTATTTTTATAAATAAATTAACTAAAAATATATAAATTTCTAAATTATATATATGTTAACTTTTAAAAATTAAACTATGAAATCTTTGAAAAACTAATTATTTCAATTTATGAATCTATGGATCTACAACTAGCTTTTGTATCTGTGAGACAACACTTTAGCCAAGGTCTTGAATGGCGTGTGAATGTGTGTCTGTATGTCGGTGTTTGTGTGTGTGTTTTTTTCTCTTCTGTTTTGTTCGATCGTTCGTTCGTTCGATTACGTCAAATGAAGAAAAAAATATTTAGATATTTATTTATTGCTGTATTGTTTGGTCATTAAATTTAAGAAAAAGTTAGTCCCAACTGTGTTTGCAAATGAAATTCTTTGGAATAATAATGAAGAACTAATTGTGCGAATTGCAGATTAAACTATAACCATCCTTGTTTAAAATCTCTTTCTAGGAATCGGCTTTTGGTCTTTATCCGACCTCCTAATTTTTTAATAGTTAGGGAATTTATTTCTCTTTTTACTTTGTTTCGTCATAAAAATTTTAACTTTTCTAACATGGACCTAACGTTACGAACAGTTGAAATTTCAAATAAGAAGTTTAGCTGGATGGAGATAAAAATTGAAAGGTGCATGTTTCGATGCAGCAGGATGGAGTTTCAAAGAAGAAACTAACTGCTTCTTTTAGAAGATGCGGGAAATTTCATCAAAATATATTTCAATTCGATGAATAGTGCCTATTAAGGTCGTCTCGTCTTGTTTCAATTCGCTCCGTTTTGTTTCGTCTACTATTAAATTTTATACACCAAAACCTCACATAAATCTACATACGAAAAAAGCCACAAAATTCTCAACCAGATAGACCAGAACCGCAACCAATTAAGCATTAAACCGCAACTACATATCTCATTTAACTTTACTAAAAAGCATTTGTTTGGAGATATCAATGGAGACAACTTTTTCACTATTAATGTTTTAAGAAATTTTTAAACTATTAGCGATGA